CGAAAAAGGTGCCTTATAATTGCTGCGATACGTACGTGCGCCGCAAAATTACGTATGTTCGGTATCTGTTAAGGTAGCATCTGTCCATGCTGTCGAATCAAGCGTTTATATTAAACGACACCGAAACATTCCACAGCACACGCTACATTATTGTGCACGCTGCGGTGGTAGAAACAGTGCGTCCTGCAGTATTCACCAGCGCTAGCCACTGACCATTTCAGTGCTTCCAGCGTTTCGCAGTGTGCACCAACATGACAGTGGTTAAGCCAGCTCCCTGCGACATAGCTTTCTCGCAGGGCGCCCAGCAAAGTGCCAGTAAACACCAGCCTGTACCAGTGCCAAAAAACGTACTGGCACACACACACACACACACACACACACACACACACACACACACACACACACACACACACACACACACACACACACACGCACGCACGCACACACACGCACGCACGCACGCACACACACACACACACACACGAACACGCACACACACACACACACACACGCACACGGACGCACGCACGCGCACACACACACACACACACACACACACACACACACACACACACGCACACACACACACACACAATCAAGCGCACTAAAGCTAAAGTAACGAGTGTGAGTGCCATTGTACATCAATCACATCCAAATAAATTTGCTTTCACTGCAGCTTGGCTTTACAAAAGCAGGAAAAAAAAACAATAAATTGACACTATACGAGTATAAAACAAGAAAAAGGCTACCGAGTTCATTGAATCACCCTAATGATGAAACTGCGAATTTTTCAGGAAAAGATGTGTATTGAAAAGATAAGTTCTGCAGTTATGTTCTCTAACCTTGAGTTCTGGCTGCTCCCACATTGAATTAACATTGCTGGAGGCACCGGCTTTAGGATGTGTCACGCGAGCTCTGCGATGCGCGCTCACGCATTTTAGGTGGCCTGCATGGTGCCGTCATGCCTCGGAAATTATTAGGCTTCAACTATTGCCGGAGGGTGCGAAAACATTAACCCGTGCAGTCTAATAAAAAAAAAGTAGAGTGACCCTTCTCAATTGCTACCTTCGTGAATGCTGAGAAATCCGCTAGAGATTTTGTATCAAGTGCAGGATTTAAAGCAAAGAGAACCACCTTTTTTACAAAATAAAAATGCTCTTTCCTACACAACTACACAACTGCAAGGTAATAATTTATTTCTGTGTTGTAGCGTAGTATACATATCAGCACTAAATATTTTTAGCGATTGCACTACCATAACATTTAGCATACGTTCACCAACTAGAAATCATCAACCTGACATGTGACTGCTATTCTGGATTAATTTATCGGTAACAAAGAGAATTTCTGTGTCATCGCTATTCGGCGGGGGAGGCTGACGCGCTTATGAACGCTATTTTTCATACGATGGTTGTCGGGACCCTCCGCCTTTCGTTTATTTTTCAAGAATTATTTTTCATTCGCAGGTGTTTGTCATTGTAGTTGTCGTTGGTAGTTGCTGTACTGCTGTTCGGCCCCGCAGAAGCTACCATACCAGTGAAGACGTCCACTTCTCCAGCTTCCGCGGCGATGACATGTAGATTCGTTTTGCTATTGCGCGCATGTTTGTTATATTTTGTCGGTGACTTCACTATGAGGCCTTGTTGCCGCCCTGAGTGTTGTGTATTTATGTACTACGTACATTTCCACGGATTCTACACGTGAAGGCGCTTTTTTTCTATTTTCACTGCAACGTGAATTCCTTGCGAAACACCCCACCTCCTCTCGTGCACAGCTTGACCACAGTTTGTCGTAATAATAATGAAAACTGCGGTGTTATGCCGGGCTCGATGAAATCAAGAACAGGAATTCGAAACTTTGACTGAAGCAGCCTATGCGCCTTTTCAGACTGTTTTGTAGAGATGGTACCTGCAAGCGAGACACACCTTTCTCTTTATTTTGCCTCGGAAGACGAAAGCGTGCCGTTGGCGAAATCTCAATAATGGCGCAAACCTGCTGTATTTTTTGTTTCATTAATCATTGCTTGTTTCTGGTCAATTAAGATTATTCTTGCCCGCACTCACTCGCGAATCGTTTTTACTCAATAAGCAATTGTATCAGGCCAGTTCGTATGAATCCATCTGGGTGGGAAGCGAAGCAACTATTACACGGAAGGCATGGCACAAGCACCTGTGTTGTGTGTTCAGTGTAATATTTGCTGCGATTCCTGCTAAGGAAGAAGTTGTTTTTACTTCTTCCAGTTTACCCTGTCCGTTTTCATGTAACGTTTTAACGCGCAGGTACTGCGTTACGAAGAGTGCCTTAGCGTGATGGTGGGCGTAGCGATGCTCTTAGAACAAGCTGGTGAAAGATAACGAGATACCCGCAGAATCGTGTATTCTTGGCTTCTTTCTTCAACTTCTGTTTAAAAAGTATAGCCATAAAAATAAGAACAAGTCGAGGCACCCCCGTATGCGTCCATGCACGCCCAGTACAGAATAAAAAGGGCAGTCATTTTTCGTTAAGGAAAACAACAACATTGCTTTGCGCTTACTGTTTGGGGATCACCATCTCGATGCCCTCCCTCAGTAGTTCCATGAGCAACCACTGCTTATCTTTTGTACCGTTGTCCAAGCAAGCTTCCCTTCTCTAAACGCGCTATTTCTTGTATGGCACCGTCATTTCATTCCTTTAACTTGTGATTATCGTTTCCTAATCGCTGAACGGTGGCAGTCATGTGGGCGTGTTGTGCGCTGGCAGCTTGACTTTGTTCTCGACGCTGGACGTGAACGGTGTTTTCCGATGGTGATATAACTGTCCGCATGCCGTGAGCGCATTTGTTTCGCAATGGCCTGAGGCCTTGAGTGAACCTGCCAACCAAAGTGACGCGCACGCTGCGCGTTGGGCACCATCCGAAACACAAGCGGTAAGCAATGCTTCTTTGTCTCATTACATTTGTTTTCCGTCTGCTCGTCCATTTTATCCCTGGGGTGCTTGCAGGTATTGTTTTGCACTGTGTCGCAAGACAGGCACAAGAAAAAACCGAAAGGAAGGGGACCTTACGAGCACATAGTGACAGCGTCATGAGACTTATGTGCATGTGAAGAGTACTGCGAGGCCAGTTGCTCGAGAACGCTTGTTAGGCACATTTTGTGCAATATGATTGCTTTTAGTCAAGCACAAATGCAACGACGTGTTTTGACGAAATACTGAAGGGAAATGCCTCACCTATCGTGGCGTCGTTACGTCATACGGGCACCGAGCCGATGTCTCTTTTCATTTTACTCTGTTCCCATACATAATTTCTTTGTGTTATGGCTCAACGTTGACTCGTTGTCGTTATTAAAACGTGTGGCATAAACATGCGCCCATGATTTCCACAGTTCATGGTGAATACAGAAGTGAAATACTCTGAACTTGCTTTTTCCGCAGTCGAAGTATTTTGATGCTTGAAATATTTTGGCATAAAATATATTTTATAAAACAAAGACCGACACTGCCCACAAGCCATCATATTTTGTTGTTCACTGCCATTTTATTTTATTTCTATTTTCGACAAAAGTTCTCAGTGAAAGAAGTCGAGCCAGATTTTCCCGCGTACCATTCAATCTGATTAATGCGGAAATTCCAGTACACTTATTTCATTTATTATTATTTTGAGGAAGACACTTTTGTCTATACAGGAAGCGTTATTGACCATGCTGTTTTCAAGAGGGTATATGATGGAAACATTTTGGAGTGCCTTACGGCACCATTTATGCAGGATGGCATACATCTCCCGGGATTTCGGCAAACACTGGGACTAGTTCTTTTATTAGACCTGCCAAAGAATGACCAATTTACTAAAAAATGTGTTCATTGTTTCAATTAGCCGTGTGCTTACTAGACGACAAAGTGTACAGTCGTATCATTGTACTCTGCTCTCACTAATTTGCTCTATGCTTACTAGGAGACAAACTGGACAAATGTTAAAACAATGGGCTAATAGGTACCTTCAGAAAGCACAAGCCTGAAGGTGACGAAGTTAGGCAATGCCTATTATTTGCAGTTTTGAAAAGAAATAATTATAAACTTTCTTGTGTCAACTTGTTCTTATAAAGTTTAAAAACTAAAATTCACACCTGAATTTTTTCCGAGAAATACGATGCGGTAACAACATCGATGTCAATTTGTCATAAGTTTTGCTTCTGAGCTGTTAGAATAATTTTGAAACTGACAGAATGATTATCCATAATAACTAGAACCTCACATATTTAGTATACTGTTTGTTGCCTCTCCGTTGTTCGCTCAGCCAGGTGCCATGAGTCTTGTTTAAGGGTCATCAGGACAGTTCATGCGTGGTTGTTTTTTGCTGACGAAACTGGAACTAGGAATATGTAGGTGGCCAATTAAAATTGTCAGACCCATTTATTATGACCGGGTCGTGATTCCTGCATTAAACTTGGGGTGTTTTTACAATAGGCACAAGGGCAGCGCCGCGCAGTTTCCTGGTGGTGAGGTGTAACACTGCAGGCGTGAAACGGAATTTCAACCAAATCGCGCATGCTGTTCTCTTCATAATAGTTCTTTAGCTTGGCGCTACCTCAAAAAGAGGCTCAACATGACTGACCCGTGAGTTTGAATACTCGCAGAAAAAAATGGAATGTATGCGAGGAGCGGGCACACAAATGGCACACCGATGTTAGTGAGTCATTGATGGGGTTCATAATGAAAACATGGGGAAGGTATGTCTCTATCTGCAATTTCATACTTAAATGTTGTAGGCCCGTGTACTCAGATTTGGGTGCCCGTTAAAGAACCCCAGGTGGTCTAAATTTCGGGAACCCTCCACTACGGCGTCTCTCATAATCATATGGTGGTTTTGGGACGTTAAACACCACAAATCAATCAATCAGCGATTCCATACTTGCGTAAACGTTGTTGACCTTTCCTTACGCTCAGCGTTACACAATTCAGAAACAGCTTGAAACAGTGGATTTTGCCAATATATTCTCATTGAGTAATAGGTTTCCAGAATGATGTCTATTTTACGCACTCATGGCAAGCATTGATTTTTATTCATATAGTGCGTAATATTACAAGGAATGGCAGAGGTTTCTACCTTTCGTGAGACCGATTGTCATCTCCGTTCAAGATTTTATTATTACGACGTTAGGCAGCTTCACTATTATGAACGTGCACAGTAGTTCTTTGTCTGTTATCCCTTGTAAACGTGTTTATCTTCATGATGTCAAACTTCACTCTTTGTTTCGTCGTGACCTTAGATGTTCAGTTTCCACGAGCTCCGGTAGAAACAAACAATCAATAATTGGCAGTGTTGACGAGCATGTGTCGCAAATACAAGTTAAAGATAACGAGACACTAGCGACACGTCACATGCACCTACGAAACCGCACAGCTGTTCCTCTTGAGAAGCGTCTTGTCCTTGATGCTCGGACTTGTAGGATAGACGGGCAACGAGCGACGTCTCTTGTTAACGGCGGTGGGACTCAGGTCATACGGAATCTTGGCCTGTACTAGGAGTTCTTTGAAAATGGCAAACACGTTAACGTTGTCTTTGGCCGAAGACTCTACGAAGCCGTTCTCCCAGTCAATGGAGATGATGGTCTCTGCTACCTCTCGTCGCACGCGGCGCATGTCGGTGGGCACGTCGCACTTGTTGCCCACCACGACTACGGGAGCTTTGGCCGATTGGAGCTCTACGATCTGTTCGTGGATTCGACGAGCCTCTTCGAATGAATCCTGGTCATCAATAGCGTAGACGAGCACGATTGCGTCGGCAGTGGTAATGGCCAGACGCCTCATGGCAGGAAATGGGTAGCTGCCACTCGTGTCCACAATGTCAAGGGTGAGGGAGGCACCGTTGATCTCGTACTCACCAGTGTGGAACTGTGTCAGGAAGAAAAAAAAACGAAGGAACAGTTTAGCATGCGTCGAGGAACTGTTGATTCCTTTCGTAAGCACTAGCTTTACTGCACACTAGGCATTTCGTTTCCCGCTTACCACTCTTGACACGCTCAACATGCCAGAAGTGGTAGACGGTGTCCTGGCTTCACATCTTTCATGGCACGGCAGCCGAAGTAAGGAGTATCAGTTAGTATTGTCTAGTCTGTCACAAACCTGATGCTACATTCTATTTTCAGACAAACGACCAAAAATACCGGCTAGCAGAGTCTATCTATCTATCTATCTATCTATCTATCTATCTATCTATCTATCTGTCTGTGTGTGTGTGTGTGTGTGTGTCTGTGTGTGTGTGTGTGTGTGTCTGTCTGTGTGTGTGTGTGTCTGTCTGTCTGTCTGTCTGTCTGTGTGTGTGTGTGTGTGTGTCTGTCTGTGTGTCTGTCTGTGTGTGTCTGTATGTGTGTGTGTGTCTGTCTGTCTGTCTGTCTGTCTGTCTGTGTCTGTCTGTGTGTCTGTCTGTGTGTCTGTCTGTGTGTCTGTCTGTGTGTGTGTGTGTGTCTGTCTGTCTGTCTGTCTGTCTGTGTGTGTCTGTGTGTGTGTCTGTCTGTGTGTCTGTGTGTGTGTCTGTGTGTGTGTGTCTGTGTGTCTGTCTGTCTGTCTGTGTGTCTGTCTGTCTGTCTGTCTGTCTACTAATAAACGCACATGAGGAAGCTTTGAGGATGTCGCAATTTATTTTGACTCACCTCTTCCACTGTAGGGACGTAGTCGACTGGAAACTCGTCGTACAGGAACTGCCGTACGATGGCCGTCTTGCCCACCCGTGCTGCACCGAGAACAACGACGCGGTACTGGTCCCTGGCCGGATGATGGTGAGTGTTGTGCACGTCCTCGTGGGGAGGTTGCAGCACCGACAGCAATGGTATCTGGCTCGTGCTCGGCATGGTGACCGGTGGCAGTTATTGAGAATGAGGATGAGGTAAATGCCAGATCGTGTTGAGTGGATAGTTGTACAGCTGCTCTCACGCAGACTTTGGTACCCTGTAGAGAATGGCAGTGAGAGAAAAACAAAGGGGGCAGGAAAGTCGATTAGAAGGAGCGTTTGAGTATTCGAAAACTCGAATAACGATTCGCATAGCATTCTACCTAATTCGATACTGCGACGTACCAACGCAAATTATATATACTGAACGTTTTTTTTTCGATAATAGGCGCCAATGAAACGATATTAGGCCCCAATGAAAGAAAAATATGAACAAAAAATCTTAATAGAGAGGGGTAGCTTCTAAGTTTATTTAACAAATTTCCGAAATTTCTGGAGCTCGACGTTTCAAGAAACCATAGACAGTATAATGACCACGGGGTGGACGCATCTCCTTTTACAACTCTGATGTCACCAAAGTGATTAAGACATCAATTCAATCTCTTCATCATGACGTTTGTGATGATGCTAACTCATATGCGAGGTATAATAGTTATTAATTAGTTTTATTTAGAAGGTGCTGGCAAAGCCTTGAATGCCATAGTGGTTCCAGAATTTCAGCCTTCAGTCTCAAAATATCTCGAAGGCTCAAGTAACTGCTTTATACCAGGTTTTCGTGAGTTTTTACTACGCTGCTTTGTTTCGGTTAATAGAAGTCACTGTAGTTGGTAAAGTGGGTGATTACAAGGTTTATATAGCACGCATCAAGCTAGACAGCGAGAGGAAGAGAAGAACGAAGGTCAGATAAAAAACAGCCGGCCCAGACGTCCGACCTTTGTCGACATTGCGTGAATCTGTGCTTCTCAATATAATACTTTCAAAGTTTCATTCGCAGTTTCTGCGTTACTGAATTACGTACGCTATTTACAAAAAGTTAATATTGTGCGTACCGGGGAGGTAAGCGTGTGACGCATGTGAAGTGGCAAGAAACGCAAGCTCGATGCCTTCTGCCCTCAGTTCTGAACGTACTTTTCTTTCACAAATTTTGTTTTTCAAGAGGTTCTAAACAGGCGAGTTGATTTAGGTCGACAAAGTTATTACGCAAAAACTTGAATCCAGTTTATTTGAAAAAGATTTTAATTGTTAGGGAAAAAACAAGCAACGAATTCACATGATGGCCCTGAAACTGCAGTGCTGTCGGTCATTCTAGAATCACAGCGTTACGGAGAATGAAATACCAGAAACTGCGCAGTCAGACACCCACGCACAACACGCACGCGTAAAACATAATTTTGTCTGACGCAAGCAAGGATTACTTCGTGCAAGGGAGCCTACTTATTCCAACATAAAAAAGGTGCATCGGTTCTGGCCTATAATGTGTCTTCAATGAGAACCTTTGGATTACTTCTGCTGAGCTTCATCATCTGACATTAATCCTTCCCCGTGTTGTTTCATGTCATCGCTTCAGGCACGGTCACCTAAACACATATATGCCTAAATCTCTATCTAGGTTTACGTTTCCGGTTCTGCCATTACTTATTGGAACATAGCGGGAAACTGGTAGGAATATACGGTAGTCAAGTCTTTAGAGTATGTATTAGACGCAATAACAGAGCCTCGGTTCAACTATTTCGCAATCCGTGTGGGGCGCTCAATAGACTTCCTCTTTTTGGATTTTCTCCTTTGGGCATCACAGCTAGAAGGTCACTTGGAATGAATGTTTTCAGTTCATCAAACTATTGCACGTCAAAGCTGACAAGCAAAAATCCAAGATATCATGGCTAGGAAGGTCACTTGGAATTAATGTCCTCGTTTTATGAAACTATTACGTATCATAGCTGATACGTGTCTTCTTGGGAGATCACAGCTAAGAGGTCACTTAAAATGAATGTATTCATTTTATCAAACTTTAGCGCATCAAAGCTGTGTCGCATCGTCTCAGGTGATCACAGATAAAACGTCAATCGGAACCAATGTGTTCAGTTTATATAACTATTGCATGTCAAAACCGACACGTATCGTCTCGGGAGACGTGCAAAGCATTCCGAATAGTTCGTCCTGTTCACCGCAATAATAAAATTATGACAGCAGCCTTCTCGTAAGGGGAACCGTTCAGAGACGGCAAAATAATAAAGAAAACTGCACAGGCAATCACTATACCTTATTTTTATGCGAGGGCTATTTCAAGTGCGGTCGTATGAATGAAACTATCACTATAAATACTAAATGTACGTGCCATACGCCACGAGATCGTCAAAGTGCTGTGACAGGCCGAACACAGTGAAAACCACACAGTTATCTTGAAAGTACGACTTCTTTCGCTCGAGGCCATTATTACTAGAGGCCATTCTCTCAGGTTTCGTCGAAGGAACCATTGTAAACTATTATACTCGTCACAATTAGGACACCGATAATTTTGTCTTTTCTCCGTGCCAATGTCATCATCCCGAGACAGATCCTGGCCACTGTACAACTGTTTTAGAATTTTAAGGGTGACTCAAACTTCAAAATATTACAGATCACCCGAACAAGGCGGCCTATGTTCACACCGGCTAGTTATAACACACCTGTCGCCTCACACACCGGGTATCCTTGGACTGTTATTCGTTCGTAAAAGAATATTTCTGCAGCTTTGTGTTAGGCCTGACAAGGCTCATATGTGGAGCTGGGCAGTCATTTTTTTTGTTTCTCTGCCACTCTCTGTTACCTTCTTCCTGTCTGATCTTCTCCACTTTTTTCTTTTTCTAGCACTTCCTTAATTTTCTGCAGATCTTTCCTTTCTATCGTCACGTTTATATTGCACGCTTGCTCCTGTTGTTTTTATATTTTGGCGACAGTCCCAACTACTAAAGTATTCCACCCGTATCATCACCCAGCCGCCCGAAACACAAGACGAGGACTACCTCTTGGTGCGGGAGCACACTCAGTCTGCTTCAGTTGATCATGCTTTTTGTGGTTTCGCCTGCGTTGCCGCAAGCCACGCATATGACAGCCCGGCCTCCTAAAGTGCCTTGCAATAAGTGCGCTTACCTCCTGTTTCTGCACATATGATTGGTCCAGAAGCAAGCTACAGCAGTTGCGGGTGACCATACAAAGTCGATCAGTGACCGACAGAGCCAAAGAAGCCTCTATTCGTCTAAATTCACTCCTTGCGATTCCTTGCGTTCCACTTAGATGCGGAACTTGTTCCAGTAGAAGGTGTCAAATAACCTTCGGAAGAACGGCTCACCAGTGGCATAGCAACACCATCGACAGAAGTTTCTTCGCTGCCTGGTCTGATTTCACAATCTTGTTTTCCCTCCTCTATTACTTCCGAGACTTACGAGCAAGTACTCGCGTAATATACCCATGTTCGTCCTCTCGAGATAACATCAATCGAACAATCTAGCCTGGGCTCTCCTTCAAATCCTGCTAGCTGGTGATGGCGTCACCACTGCAGTCCGATGAGTCCACGTGGCAGGAAGTAATCGGGTAACCAATTTAGAAAAGAATGGGTACAGTTACATTAGAAACAAAGACGTCAGTCATGCGCAGTAGAGCCGCAGCAAAACGCTATAGCTGTGATCATACTGTGTATGGAGTCAATATTTAGGAATTATTACTTGCTGTGCTTTCGCTGCTGATAGTACCATTGGGAACTCATTTTATCAAAGTTTTATATCTGACTGAGGCAAACGCACCGAGGCAAAACATCGTCATTGAACGACCATGTCGTTCCAGATATAAATATGTTCTAGTATCCACGCGTCAACGAATGTTGCAATCAGTCTGGCGGCGCACGAAAGCTAGACTTCACCCCCCCCCCCACAATAGCTGCAATATTAGCCATTTATGTTTAGTTAAAACCCATGTGCCTGTCACAAACTTGTTAAACACCGCGAAAAATGCACCATTGCAAGTGCTAGGTACAACATAGTGATACGATTGTTTCGTTACAAGCATGCAGTTTCTAAATACATGCAATTTGTACATCATGCATGAGCTGCACCATTAAAAAAAAGAGAAATGTTTGAAGACGACATGATGATCTCTACAAGGGAGCTCATACAAATTGACGTTGCGTTCTGCCCAAGTCACTACATACGAGCTACTATCTTAGTGACCGCCGCTCAGTGCTACAATATTCGAGTACCGTTTAACCAGCATTCTGTTGATCAAATCAATTGATCAAATATAGGCCTTCGACATATCCGCAGACATCAGTGAAGCTAGAGCATTACCACTACAGATGACTTTTTTTATACCACTAGAGATAACTTTAAGCCAGTTCGGAACGAATACCTTCCAGTCGCCTATGATTATAATGTTAAGATCTCCTGACCTGCCCAGTGGATTCGTTTTAAATCATTACAGAAAAGTTGCTTGAATGCCGCCGTGCAAGAAGCTTATATTGTGATGTGTAGAGGAGCTTTGCTTCAGAAATTTCAATCTATTATGTGCTTCTCGTGCAATGATCAGTTCGTCATAGTGACGTGTCGCGGAGACAGGCACCGGAGACACCTGTTTAGGCAGTTTGAATACAAAACTACGACTGTGAATTGCTGCTTACCGGCTGAAGTTATCTGTGAGGATCCCCCTTCAGGCCATCGTCGCCGCTGATGAAGTTTTTGTAGTTGCAAAGCGACGCGCTGTCAGTCCAGTGCAAGTTGTTTCCAACAACGCTTGAACGCCCGGCCGGGAACAATCACCCAAGCGGTGCAGACAGAGATGACGAAAGGAGCTGCCAGAAAGCGACTACGTCTCATCCGCCTATTCGTAGGCAACCGTGTAAGGAGAAGACAACGACAACGACATTGCACGGTAGGGTGCGACTGCGTACTTCTTCTAAGCTCCGAGGTTGAAGAAAGCAGCGTCCCGATGAGCACGCGGCTTGAGAGCACACCGCGACCGTTTCGCGTCTAAGCACGATATAGAGTCTCTCGTCCCGGCGTCAGCGTTTTTCTATCAGCGGCCATCCGCTCCCGGGTGTCCCTGGGAAACCCCTTGGGAGAGTGAGTTGTCTGGGGATTTAGTGGAGGAGAGAAAAGGAGACGACACGGCTGGAGAGCGATGGTGAGATCAGAGAAGGCACTGAAGGAAAACGGGAATGAAGCCTCGAGCTATCCGAAAGGATGAGGAGGAGGATGCGGCTGGTAGGCAAGACACGGCGGAGAGCAAGTCGGGTTCGGGCGCGAAACCGATTCCAACGCCATCGTGCGGGTATCAGGCGAAGCAGCGACGTGTTCGTTGTTTTCACTATCTCGTTGTTCCACCGGTGCAGGACATCTCCGTTCTCTTTCCTCCCGATATAAATGTCGCAGAGAGAGTCAGCCTTCGCGTTTCGCCAATTCTCGTGTACAAAACGCCTCTCCCTTGTCGATATATATTGGATGCATATTCGGGCTCTGTCAATGCGCACCTTTCGTATAAGCGACAACCTGAATATATAGTAAAACTGTGTAGTTGTGCCCAATAACTGATGAATTAAGGGTGAGTCTGAGTACCTACTCGTGAATCTCCATTTTCTGGAGTCTTTTCTCTAGTATTTTGAGCGTTTTTCGACGTTTCTTAGTTTCAAAGATATCTGGCGTTTAGCGGAGCTAAATGCCCGAAGGCATTCAAATATGTGAAATGTGGTGTTTAATTTTGCATTGTAAGTTGTTCAAATGTATTCTTATTGCCTTCTTTTGCAATCAATATGTGTTGTGTTGTTGCTGTTACTTTTCTGCTTTCACTCTTTTATATCTGTCTACTGCATTTGTGATATATTATTGTTAATTATTTAGACATATTGTAGAACAGTAGCAGCGTTGGAGTCTCGAAGGCGTTTATTAGGCCGAATCGCCTGATCAACACTTCCAACTAAGACGACGTTTTTTGTGATGATGATTATATACAGATGAAGAAGATGAAGGTCAAACGTTATCAATATTGTGCTTACACTAATTTCCCCCTCGCGCGGAAACGGCTAATTAGGCCGCTGTTTATGACGGTGGTGTACGGCGCACGAATAGTTTTAAGCGCGACACGTGAACAACCTCCGCACCACGAAAACGGCCGTCGGAAGGCATGACAACAGGGATTACTCGATAGTTAACAGGAGACGTCTGCTCGACTATAGCGTAGGGGCCGATGAAACGTGAGTGAAACTTATCACACAGGCAAGGAACCCGAGTTGGGGTCCACAACAGTACTTGGTCTCCGGTATTAAAGTTAACTACGCGGTGGACGCCATCGTAGCGAGTCTTCCGCTTTTGTTGGCTTGCCTGTGTATTGAGGTGGGCGCTTCGGCGACAATCGGCCAGGCGAGAGATGAAGTGCTCGCTTGATGACGGTGACGAGTTCACAGGGACGTCAAAAAAGGAGATGTCGAGCGGAGATGTTGGTTGATGGCCATAGACGAGAAAGAATGGGGAATAGCCCGTGGTGCGCTGCGTAGCGGTATTGTACGCAAAAGTCACGAATGGCAGGATGGTATCCCAGTTGGTGTGGTCGGCGATGATATACATAGATATCATGTCGGTCAAAGTTCGATGGAAGCGCTCCGTGAGGCCGTTAGTCTGGGGATGGTAGCTCGATGTCGTCTTATGAATTGGAGGACTTGTTCGAGTAGTTTCGAAAAAAAACGCCTTGCCACGATCGCTCAATAAGATGCGTGGTGCACCATGTCTTAGAAAGATTGCCTCCAGAAAAAATGTGGCAATGTCATCTGCTGATCCTGAAGGAAGTGCAGCTGTTTCGGCGTACCTTGTTAAGTTGTCAACTGCTGTGACAATCCAGCGCTTGCCACTAGCTGATATTGGTAGCGGTCCGTAGAGGTCAATGCCGATGACATCGAAGGGAGCGTCAGGACACGGAAGAGGTTGTAGAAGACCGGCCGGGGAGGAAGTGGGTCGCTTGCGGCGTTGGCATAGCGAGCATGACGCAACATACCGCGCTACGCAGTTGGAAAGGCCAGGCCAGACAAAACGACTGCGGATGCGTTCATAGGTTTTTGAAAACCAAGATGACCAGCCTTGGGGTCATCGTGAAACGCCTGTAAAATCTGCGCCCTTAGGGAACGAGAAGCAACAGGAACCCAGCGCTGTCCTTCGGGGTGGAATTCAAAGTGGTAAAAAGCTGAGTTTTCAGTCTTGAAGTTCCGCAGCTGTCGATGGGCGCGGGCGTTGGGAGGGCGAGAGGAGCCATGAAGGCGCTGCATTATAGAGCGACAGTAAGAGTAGCTGCGTTGGTGGGATGCAAACGTCTCGTTGCCGAAGGTAGAAAGAAAATCGACAGCGGCGAGTGAATGAACTGACCGAGACATTTTGATGGGTTCACTCACAGTTGACGACAGGCCGGGAGTGCCTGATCAGGATTGCAAAGGACAGCGGCTAAGGGCATCGGCATCGTTGTGTTTCTTGCCGGATTTGTAGATAACGTCAAACTCGTATTCTTGGAGACGAAGTATCCAGCAACCGAGACGTCCAGACAAATTCTTCAACGTCGACAGCCAGCACAAAGCGTGGTGGTCAGTGACGACGGTAAAGTGGTGGCCGTGAAGATATGGTCGAAACTTCTGGATGGCCCAGAACACGGCGAGACACTCCTGCTCGGTGATGGTGTAGTTTTTCTCTGCTGCTGTGAGGGTGCGACTTGCGTATGCAATCACACGTTCGTCATAACGCTCTGTTCGTTGCAGAAGTACAGCGCCGAGCCCGTGTCCGCTGGCATCAGTATGGAGGAGAGTGGGTGCGGCGTTATCGAAATGACAAAGCACTGGCTAAGACGTGAGGGCACGTTTCAAGGTGTCAAAAGCCATTTGGCATTCATCCGACCATACGCATGACGCTCCCGAAGAAAGGAGTTGGTGAAGTGGCGCAGCAATGGTGGCGAAGTCTCGCATAAAGTGCCAGAAGTACGAGGCAAGGCCCAGAAAGCTTCGGAGCTCTTTGACGCGTTGAGGCACCGGGAAGTTAAGAACGGTGGTGATCTTGCCGGGATCAGGCCGGATTCCATCTTTGCTGACGAGATGTCCGAGTACTTTGATACTTTTGCTAGCAAAGTGGCACTTCTTGGTGTTGAGCTGAAGGCCAGCAGCTACGAGACACGTCAGAACTTCATCTAGGCAAGTGCTGTTGAAATGTTGAAAAAAATATGAAGATGTCATCAAGGTAACATAAGCATGTTTTCCACTTAAGGCCCCGAAATTCAGTGTCTATCAGTCGTTCGAACGTTGCTGGCACATTGCAGAGGCCTACAGGCGTGACGTTAAATTCGTAAAGTCCGTCGGGTGTGGAAAAGGCAGTTTTTTGCTTGTCATCCTTGTGCATTGGAATTTGCCAATAACCGGAGTGCAGGTCAAGGCTAGAAAAATATTCCGCTTTTTGTAAGAAATCTAAGGCATCATGAATGCGAGGCAAGGGATATACGTCTTTTCTGGTTACTTTGTTTAATGCGCGGTAGTCAACGCAGAATCGCACCGAACCATCTTTTTTTCTTACGAGAACGACAGGTGACGACCAAGGGCTTGAGGAGGGGTGAATGATGTTTAGCTTGAGCATATCAGCAACGTGCTTGTCGATGATCTCGCGTTCGCTGGAAGAAACACGGTATGTTCGACGACGGACAGGAGAACTTCCGTCGGTGTGTATGCGATGAGCCACCGCAGAAGTCTGGCTTAGAGCAGTGGAATGTACGTCAAAAGAAAATTTATGCTTAGACAACAACGCCAGTAGTTCGTCTGCTTGCGGGGGAGTGAGATCTGTGTGATGGCATTGACGAGAGCCGTAGTAGGTGGAGCATCTGTTGGTATTGAACGTGATTCCATCAGACTGGTATCCGAAGCCAATACAGAGATAGGTTGTGTGTCCACGCTGGAAACTACAACAGTGCCCTTGGTCAGTAGAATCGGTTCATTGGTGATATTCAGTACTGCGAGAAATGCGGTGCCGTTGGAGAAGCGGACAAGTCTCGATGAAAGTGCAATCCCTCTGGATAGACAACGGGCTGATGGAATGACTAGGACGTCACCGTGGTCAATGGAGTCAGACATAACCGCGATAACATGCTCGTGGTTAGGTGGCACAAAGAAATCATTGGCCGTTCGTAGCCGGTCACGTGATAATTTCGGGGAAATATCATCCGTCTCTCGCGTATGTATGAGTCGTTGTCGACAATAAATAGAAGTAGCAGCATTAGAAAGAAAGTCCCATCCTAAAATAAGCATAAAAGCACAAGAAGCCAGCACGGCAAACTCAATATGATGCCGGATTCTATCAATGAAAACTTTAATGGTGCACTGTGATGATGGCCGTATCTGCGAGTCATTTGCGCTACGTAAGAGAGTGCCAGTATAAGGTGTGGTAACCTTACGTAAACGAGTACACAAATGCGCATGAATAACAAAAATAGCAGGCCCCGTTTCCACCAATGCCTGAACTGGAACCCCTTCCGCATACACTTATTTAATAAAAAGTTGGCTGGGCCCTTTGGAGGTCTTGGTGTTTGTTCGAGCTATGCAGCTTTCCCTCCAAAAACTGCAGCAGCTAGTTTTCCGAGTGGTAGTCAGAAGTAGGTACAGCCGGTCTCAGAGGAGATGTTGAGCGTCGTATAGAGGTGAAAGGGACCGGCGGAGTCCGGGATAGCAGGGGTGAGGTGCGGCGAGTGGAGAAGTCAGAGAGAAGGAATGTGTCGTAGGGCGTCGCTGGTACTGGTTCGGGGATGGCTTCGAATCCCTTTAGTAAACATCGCAGCCACGGCGTTCGTCTTGTTGGCGCTTGCGGCAAAATTGTGAAATATGGCCCCGAATGCCACAATAGTAACTTATTGGGCGAAGCGAGTGCCAGGGGGCGTAGTGTCCTGGAGCTGTCACAGGCGCTGGTACTGGCGGTTGGACAGGCGAGTGTGGTGTAA